CCATTTGACCCAATAATCCCACTTCTAGGGATATATTCCAAGAAACCAGAAACACCTATCAGACAAGATATATGCACCCATATGTTCATAGCATCACAATCTACAATAGCTAAGATCTGGTAACAGCCTAAATGCTTATCAGCAGATGAGTGAATTAAAAAACGGTGGTACATCTACACATTGGAATACTATGCTGCTATAAAAAAGAAGGAACTCTTACCATTTGCAACAGCATGGATGGACCCGGAGAGCATTATGCTAAGCGAAATAATTTAGTTGGAGAAAGATAAATATCACATGATCTCATTTGTGGAATATAATGAACAACATAAAGTGATGAACAAAAATACAGAGACAGAGAAGCATCTAGCAGACCGTAAACCTCAGAGGGAAGGCAGGGGAGGGTGGGTGGAGGGGGTAGAGATCAACCAAAGGAGTTGTATGTATGGATAGAAACATAACTAATGGACACAGATACAAGGGGTTGAGGGCATGTGCTGGAGTGGGCAATGAGGGGGAAAGGAGGCATATGTAATACCTTAACCAATAAAGAAAAAAAAAAGAAGCCTTCCTTGATTACTCTATATAAATAGAATCATCCCCACAACCACCACATTCCCTATATTCCTTGCTTATTTTTTTAAACATTAAAAAATTGACAGCTTCATTGAGGTATAATTGGTGCAATAAATTGCACACATTTTAAGGGTATAATCTGATAAATTTAACATATGTATACAGCCATGAACCAATCACCACAATCAAAATAATGAACAAATCCATCATTCTCCAAAATTTCCTCACTCTCAACCCTCCCTGTCCCCCACCTCCTAATAATCACTTAACTGCTGTCACTATAAATTAATTTTCGTTTCCTAGATATTTATATAATGGAATCATAGAGTATCTAATTTAAAAAAAATTTGGCTTCTTTCACTTAGTGTAATCTTTTTGAAATTCATCCATGTGGTAACATGTACCAATACTTTATTCCCTTTCATGACTGAGTAGAATTACATATATATATAAAATCTCACAGTTGGTTTTCCCTTCCTTACTTAGTTTTATTTTTCCTGTAGTACTTATCACCATAGTTTGTTGTCTCCCATAATTTAAGGTCCTCAAGGGGAGGGACTTTGTATACTGCTATAGCCACAGTGCTTGACACATAGGTGCTCAATTAATATTTAATGAATGACTTTCATTTACTCCCATGGCTTCAGTTTTCATTCATATGCTGATGACTTCCATGGCTTCAGAAGTTTGTTTAGTCACCAGTAAAGAGCTGAGAATGACAAAGATTTCTATCACTGGGAAACTTGATGGATGATGATCATTAACTGAGATAACAGAGTTACAGAAGATAGAACTGTGTGTGTGTGTGTGTGTGTGTGTGTGTGTGTGTGTGTGTGTGTGTGTTTATGAGATGTATTGAATTCAGTTTTGGGCATGCTAAATCTGAGATTCCCATAAAGTAGTTGAAGTGTGGGATTTTGGATCTTAGAAAAGAGGTGAGGGCTGGATCAGGAAGTTTAGCAATTATATGGGTTTAAATAAGATCATCCAAAAGGAGATGGAGAATGAGGCAGAGAGTCTAAGTGATAGGCAGGAGAAGAGGAAGCAAGAAAAGACAGATAAAAATGGCCATAGCAGTAGGTGCATGTGTGTTTGTGTGTGGAGGGGAGGGGGGTAGATTCATTAAAACAAGGAAGAAAGAGAGTGTTTTAAGAAGTAGAGATTGGTCAACTGAAGGATGTTATAAAAAGTCACATTGAAGCATGGAGGCATGGAACAGACTAACACACTCAATGTAGGGGTGGGAGGACGAGGCGAGATAAGCCAAAGAATTTATATACTTATATGCATAGCCCATGGACACAGACAATATGGTAGTGAAGACCTGTGAGGGGGAGTGGGTAGGGGCTGGGTGGAGAGGGGCAAAGGTTGGGAAAATGAAAGACATTTGTAATACTGTCAACAGTAATCCTATATCAGTGATGGCGAACCTTTCGAACTCAGCGTGTCAGCATTTTGAAAAACCCTAACATAACTCTGGTGCCGTGTCACATATAGAAATTTTTTGATCTTTGCAACCATAGTAAAACAAAGATTTATATTTTTGATATTTATTTTATATATTTAAATGCCATTTAACAAAGAAAAATCAACCAAAAAAAATGAGTTCGTGTGTCATAGGTTCGCCATCACTGTCCTATATAATAAGAAAGGGATATACTAATTAGCCCAGATATGCTAATTAGTCATGACCATTATGCAAATTGACCATCACTCCAACACAATAAGAGAGGGATATGCTAATTAGCCCTGATATGCTAATCAGTCATGACCAGTATCCAAATTGACCATCACTCAAACACACAAGATGGCTGCCCCCATGTGGCCACAAGATGGCCGCCACAAGATAGCCTGCAGGGGAGGGCAGTTAGGGGTGACCAGGCTGGCAGGGGAGGACAGTTGGGGGCAACTGGGCCAGCAGGGGAGGGCAGTTGGGGGCAATCGGGCTGGCAGGGGAACTGTTATGCATCGATCAGGCTGGCAGGGGAGCAGTTAGGGGGTGATCCGGCTGGCAGGGGAGGGCAGTTGGGGGCAATCGGGCAGGCAGGCAGGCGAGTGGTTGGGAGCCAGCAGTTGGGAGCCAGCCTGGATTGTGAGAGGGATGTCCAACTGCCTGTTTAGGCTGTTAAATTGTGTTGTTTACCCATATCTTCAGAAAAAAATCACTTCTACCCTAATGGTAAATAACCTGCTTCCCTAATTAATAATGGTCTGGCCCTCTAGCAACTTCAGTGCCAAATTATAGCTAATTTGCCTACAAACGTCAGGTGGTCATAATAATCTGGCCACTCAGTGTGTGTGTGTCCCTCTGCTGGGGGCTGCCCCCAGCTGCGTAGGAGGCTCAGAGCAAGTGCTCCATGTGTGTGTGTGTGTGTTTGCTGGGGGCCTGCCCCCAGCCACACAGTGGAGGCTTGGAGTAGGCGCCCCTCTGTGTTGATCTCTCAGGCTCCTGGCCTCCACTGCGTGCTGTACTCTCCCTTTAGCTGTGGCCAGGGTGGGGTGCTGCCTGCAGGCCGCACTTTCCTGCTCACGGATCACCGGAGCGCCACAGAGACCCGGGGGCAGGCCCTCCTGGGTGCTGCCTAAAGGCCACACTTTCCTGCTCTGGGATCGCCATGGTGACCCAGAACCAGGCCCACCTGGGGGCTGCCTGCAGGCCGCACTTTCCTGCTCTGGGATCCCCACCGTGACCCAGGAGCAGGCCTTGCTGGGTGCTGCCTACAGGCCGCACTTTCCTGCTCACCGATCCCTGGATCGCCACGGCAGCACTTTCCTGCTCTTGGATTGCCATGGGGTCCCAGCTGGCGGCGGGGCATAGGCGGCACACGGGGGTCCCGGCTGGGTGCAGGGCTTGGGCGGCACATGGGGGTCCCAGCTGGGGGCGGGGCTTAGGCGGCGCGGGGCTTAGGCGGCATATGAGGGTCCCGGCTGGGGGCAGGGCTGCACACAGGGCCTGGATGGTGGCTTGCGCTGTCCCGCCCTGCCTGCAGTATGCAAATTAGCCGCCATCTTTGTTGGCGGCTAATTTGCATATCGTGCTGATTAGCCGATGGGAGGCGTAGTGAAGGGTACGGTCAATTACCATCTTTGTCTATTATTAGATAGGATAATTGTCACATTGGACGAAGACTCAGAATAGGTTCTGATTTGGCAAATCTTTATGGAAATGCAAAAATAAAAAGCATTCTGCATCATAATGGAGGAAGTAGTGAAATAGCTCAGGAGTTCAAAGGAACAAGAGTTCTGCATTTGTGATAGAACTAAAATTTTGTCCCAAGGAATTTGGTGATTGCCTGAATGTTAATATTGTACTCTGGGTGTTTCCTCTGTGATTCTTGCCTCGGATCTTTTTTTTTTTTTTTGCTATAGGATTTCTTTTTTTTTAAATTTCTTTATTGATTAAGGTATTACATATGTGTCCTATCCCCCCATTACCCCCCTAAGCCCCCCCATTCATGCCCTCACCCCTCTGGTGTCTGTGTCCATTGGTTAGGCTTATATGCATGCATGCAAGTCCTTTGGTTGATCTCTCCCCCATACCCCCGCCCTTCCCTACCTTCCCTCTGAGGTTTGATTGTCTGATTGATGCTTCTCTGTCTCTGGATCTGTTTTTGTTCTTCAGTTTATGTTCATTATATTCCATAAATGAGTGAGATCATGTGACATTTATATTTCTCTGATTGGCTTATTTCACTTAGCATAATGCTTTCCAGTTCCATCCATGCTGTTGCAAATGGTAAGAATTCCTTCTTTTTTACTGCAGCGTAGTATTCCATTGTGTAGATGTACCAGTTTTCTAATCCACTCATCTGCTGATGGGCACTTAGGCTATTTCCAAATCTTAGCTATGGTGAATTGTGCTGCTATGAACACAGGGGTGCGTATATCCTTTCTGATTGGCGTTTCTAGTTTCTTGGGATATTTAGTTAAAATAATAACACCAACAAAGCTTTGGTATGATACTGCTGTTTTATTCATTTATCCCCCCCAAAAAAGCAACATTGGGTTGACCAGACATGCATTTCATTAGGAAATCATAACTGGAATTTTGAAAATTACTTCTTGGTTATGTTCTCATTTGTAAATTATAATCAGGAAAAATAAATTGTAGGGGTGTAGATTAATCTTTTAACAGACATTAAATATCGGTGTTCAATGGTGTATACTTGGTGCTATAAATTAACTTATGCAGAATTTATGAGTCAAACGTAGGCAATTAATTCTAATAGTTATTCAAAAAGAATCAGTCATAAGGATAATGGGGAGAAAGGGATTAGTTAAGATAAACACTAATTTTGAATAATCAACATTTTACTGTATTTTAAAAGAAATGCATTGTTTTGGCCTCTTTGCCTCTTTTCTGTGTGTGAGTGTGTGTATGTGATATTCTGCTTACTGAAACATGAAAAACTTGTTTGTTTCAGGATCAGATTTGCAAGTATGTCTCCCCAAGGGCCCAACATGCTGCTCAAGAAAGATGGAAGAAAAATACCAACTAACAGCACGATTGAACATGGAACAACTGCTTCAGTCTGCAAGTATGGAGCTCAAGTTCCTAATTATTCAGAATGCTGCAGTTTTCCAAGGTGAGTTCTGGGGATTATTTTAAATGTGCTCAGAGGTATCATTATGTGGGTACTTGGCTTTCAAAAGCTAAATATAATTTATAAATTACCATTATAGCATTAATGTTTGATATAAAAACCTCCCAGTAAGAAATTCTGTTTAAGCAAAACACGTTTTTTAAAGAAGTTTCATTCCAATCTATGGAAAGGTGGGTATTGTCAAAAAAATCCAAGGACATACTGTTCATCTGTTTGTAAAAGGTTATAAATCCCTTTAGAAAGAGTAAATGATATTTTCTTTCAAATACCCTGTAAGACTTGCTTAAAGAACAAAAATAGTTTTCTTAAATACTAGTTTTCTCCAGGCATGAGTTAGACAGTTCTGAAACATACACAAACTCCTTCTGACCACTGGGACCATTTCCATTTAAAAGAGGGAAACTGGTTTGATGGCTCTACATTTTCTCATTTGTGTGAGTGGTTTTCACTTCTCTCTTGTAAGTTTCAGTTCTTACTATACCTGTGTAAGACTGTAAAATAATCTGTTGTGGCATTGCTAGATATGTAGAAAATTGCATTTCTCTTTGCTAACTTGTAGGAGTGGCAGGATGGGGAGCACCTCCTTTGATTCAAAGACCCAGCTAGGGATGGTAATGATAGGGGTGACAGTATTGGTAATAGCAAGCATGTATATACCATTATATGCTAGGAATCTTATAAGTGCTTTACATATATTAATTCATTTAATCCTCAAAATAATCCTGTAATGGAAGTATTCTTCTTCTTCTTATTATTATTATTATCTCCATTTTATGGATAAAAATCCAAGGCACAGAATGGCTAAGTAACTTGCCCAAGGTCACACAACTAATAAGAGGTGAAAGCAGGATTTGAAAACAGGCAGCTTGGTTTTTAAAGTCTATACTTTTAACTACCTCAGTATGCTGTCTCCTGTGAGGGAAAATTAATTATGGATATTGGGGCTTTCTTTTAGTTTTTCTTAAGCAGATGCAATCAGCTGCCTTTTTCTTGCCCCACAAAGAAAGAATTAGGGTTGTATAGAAAAAATAATAATTCTGACTACTTCATATTCCAAATCTTTAGAGTTATGGTACCTTTATTAAAATTAACCTCTTTGAATTGTAAGGTGGGTTGATTATAGCTTATTTTGTATGTTATAATGAAATTCTTAGAATTAGCTTAGAAAATTATTCAAATTAGCTAATAAAGCATACATTCACAACAGTTTCTTGGGTCAAAACTTCAAGGGATGTTGGGTTGATTATATGAAGTACAATATATCAGCTTGAAGTATTTTTTAACCTATTTAGCAGTCAGACTCTTGTGAAGAATTTGTTGAGACTAACAATTTGACAATAGAATGAATAATTTAAGGTGATTTTAAAAAATACATGTACCATTCATGTACTTCTTAGATTGGCTTTGGAGCTGATCTGCTGGCTGAAAATGGGGGTGATAAGGAGTGATGTGACATGAGAATTGGGTTCAAGAAGAGAGCTGAATCTTACTTTTTGGGGTGTTAAGGTGCTTTTTCAGAATGGAGTATTTATGATTTGTTTAATTCCAAGAATAACCAGGCCCACAGATATCTTACTACTATTGCCTGCCTGGAGGGGTTTGATAGAGTGATCACACTGGTATTCTAGCATGCAGAGTAGTTGACATGACTGTCCATCTGAAGGCTTTGGGTGTAAGCAACTCTGTCCAGTCCTGCATTTTGCACATTGTTTTCCAGGCCTGGAACAGCACAAGACTAGGTGAGAAAGGAAGTTCTTACAAGATTTTGATTGGATTAATTTATAGATATGGCTGCTATAGCATGGATTTTGAACATTAGTCATGTAAACAGATGGTGGAAATGGGGGGCAGCACCTACTAGTTCTCTCTCTCTCTCTCTCTCTCTCTCTCTCTCTCTCTCACACACACACACACACACACACACACACACACACACACACGGTACATATATTTTTTAAATCACCTTAAATTATTCAAGTTGTGTGGACAGACAGAAGGCCACATAGAAACAACTAGATGATGTCTGAGCTCATTGTGTTGCCTTCTTCCTTGTCACTATGCTATGTACTTATTCTTTATCTTGTTTCATTCTCTTTCACTGCTTCACTTTTATTTTATTTTTTAAAAATATATTTTATTTGTGTGTTTTTTACAGAGAGGAAGGGAGAGGGACAGAGAGTTAGAAACATCAATGAGAGAGAGAAACATCAATCAGCTGCCTTCTGCATACCCCCACTGGGGATGTGCCCACAACCAGTACATGCCCTTGACTGGAATCGAACCCGGGACCATTCAGTCCGCAGGCCGACACTCTATCACTAAGCCAAACTAGTCAGGGCTCACTGCTTCACTTTTAGAAAAAAATAAACTCCATAGGAAAAAGATAGACTCTGATGCCAGACCTCAAGACAATGATGTCATATTTGTAGAGACATTGCCCCCACAATCCTTTGTATGACAAACATTTGGGAAGACAAAACTAAAATCAGAGACCTCTACAAGATGATAAATGGGGGGGGTACAGTTATTTTTTTCCTAAAATATATTTCCTCCCCAAGACTCTGGTAGATCAAATTATTGAGAAAATTGCTCCAATACTTCATGCATATGAAATTAGATGTGAGCTATTCTCTCCACCACATGAAGTTGAAGAAAGCTCATCCTGATCTTGGCCTAGATCCACAATCTATTTAGGATTCCACTTTGGGGGTATTTAAGCAGTGAGTGCTCTCTGCAAATATGTGCACGGTTCCTCGAGCAATCCTTATTGCCTTGATTTGGATTTTATGTCTTCATTTGCAGGAAGCCTTTGCCCTCATAAATGAGCCTGGGGCTCTTTGCTACAGTGGTTGGAGTGCTGTATTGCTAATGTTGTTTTCATAATGATTGAAGCATTAAAGAAAGTTGTACTTTATTTTCAATCTTTGCATTGCCTCGTTTCCTAAATTTAATTTACTTAGATGTACTTAGTAAAATGGGGCAGCACAGTCGTTTTTTGTTTCTGCTTAATTAATTCTTTTTGAAAAACTCTGCTAAAAGTAGGTTTTCTTCTCTTTTTTTTCTCCCCTACCTAATAATAATTATGATGATAATGATAACATTAGTGGCAATTTATTAGGTGCCTACTATTTGATATTTACTTTTACATAATTATCTCATTTAATTTTCTCAGAAGCCCTAAGAGGTTCATATGATAATTATCTCCATTTTAAAAAAAATATATTTTATTGATTTTTCACAGAGAGGAAGGGAGAGGGATAGAGAGTTAGAAACATCGATGAGAGAGAAACATCGATCAGCTGCCTCCTGCACACCTCCTACTGGGGATGTGCCCGCAACCAAGGTACATGCCCCTGGCCAGAATCAAACCTGGGACCTTTCAGTCTGCAGGCCGACGCTCTATCCACTGAGCCAAACCGGTCAGGGCAATTATTTCCATTTTACAGATGAAGAAAGTCATTGATGCCACAGCTTCTTTCAAACCATCATGTGACAATATTTTCCTTGTTCTCAGTGTGCTTGAAGTTAAATAAAATTAAGAAGTTGTAGGATTTGTGGTCCTTGAGAAGGAAAATGGGACAAAATTCTGAATTTTTCATTGCATCTTTACCTCTTCTATACCTTCAAGCATTGAGTTCTGTTTTCTTTGTAGAATTTTATGATAGCTTTTAACTTTGTGCTATCAGGAAATATTTGGGGTATGTCTAGTTTTTTCTGTATGTTGGATGATTCCAGTCTTCCCCAAGGTGCCACTGACTTTGAGTGAGAATAAACTCTTTAGAATGCAGTAACACTTTGCTTTTCTGGAAGTTGCCTATCCTACACCTTGAACTCTCTTCATCAGAGAGGTGAAATAGTGGTTAAGCAGAAATCATACCTGTGCACCTAAATGCCAAGGAGCTCACGCTTATTCAGTTGATTCATCTGAGAGCTCCTTGGGACCTTGTTCAGAGGCTACTAATGTTCTAAATTTATGCATAGTCTTTACAAGTTTGATTTTCTAGTTTTCTATCCAGTAGTAAATAAGCAGTTAAATAGAAGGGTTATAAAATAACTGCTAGAGGGAGGTACGTATAACTAGCAAGAAGTTACGAGTGACAGGGTGGCAGACATAAAAGTGGACTCAAGAACTCACTGAATGTGGCAATTGAGGGCTTTTAGTAGAGGGGTATATCTCTACATGCCTCAGTAGACCCTGTATTATAGTCGATCCAACAACTGATATTCATAGTGATGTTTATGAATCAATAAGGAAAGATAAAAATATTTTCATTTTTTCTTAATATTTCAATTTTAAATGGCTAAAATAATTTTTGTTGCTTAAAGGCATTGAAAGAAACACTGGATTTGGAGTCAGAAAATCTAAGTTATAATTCTCATTCTGTATTTATAAGTTTTATGACTTTGAGTCATTATTTAGATGTGAATAGCCTCAGTTTTCTTATCTGCAAAATGGGGATGATAATGATAGTCCTGTTTACCTCACAGACTAGAGATAATGTATGTGAAAGTGTCTTGAAAACTATAAAACACAATATACATGCATTATTATATAGACAGCTCATTTGTGTAGACTGCTTCAACCCAGTGGTGCCAGATAAATGAGGCATTACTGTCACAGACATTAACTCAAACAAAGCTGGAGTTCATGATGTAATTCAACAACTCTTGCCACATACAGATGATATTCAAACAGTGCACAGGTGGGAGAGCACTGAGGCAAAGGACCCTTTGAAAAGGGGGTTTACATTGTGCATTCTTGGATGTAAAGCTGTGCTATTTGAAATGTCAATAGTGCCAGGTCAAATCCTTTTTCAGCTGCTCTTCTGGCTCCTGTCTGGTATATTTTACACACAAACAAGGAGTTACATCAGAAAGGAGTTGTGCTCAGGCTGTATTTTAATTACATTTTCTGGTCCATACTATCATGGTAGAGAGAAGGAAAAGAGAAGTCAAAATTTAGAGATCTTCAGTTGAGCTTC